GGTAGGACTCACCGCTCCGTTAGCTGGGGGCCACCCGAGCCGGACATTGGACCGCTGCAGTGGGAAGTAAGGGGAAAAAGAAGTTTGGCAAAGCTTGAAATAAAACCAGAATATCTTGGGTATGACTTCTGCTATGATATGTACATCTAGGCGATCGAGGAAACGATATTTCTATACAGAAACCTGGACCGGCCCCTTATATGTATACAGGTATGGGACCGCTCCGGCAGAAGTCATCGCTCCGTTAGCTGCACCAGTTAGTGTCAGCCATTAGGTCGCTGCAATGGAAAGTACAAGAAGGATCATATCCAGTTGCTTGAGTAACTGCTTTTTGGCGTACAAGAAGGATTTTTTGTCAGAAGTAGCGCATTGCATTTCTTCTGCAGGGAATGAACATACGGATAATTAACTGATATTTGTGGACACAAATTTGCAAACCACGCCCTTAAATCATACCAGTACAGCAGTAAATCATACAGAATAGTTGCATTCTACGTACATGTAGTTCTGTCAGCCGGAACATGGCGCAGTAATACTACCAAGTACCGTGTATCACGTTGTGATTGAATCTAGAGAGGCGTTTGCACCGACAGAACATACATGAAGACAACAATGTGCTAGAGCCATTACAGCAGAACAGTTTGTCACTGGACTGAGGAAGGAAAGGTCTTTGTTCTGCTTGTACAATTTGAGGATAGGTTCACTTTTAAGGCGAGACCACGCATCCGATGAAAAAATATGATTAGTTGGATACCACTGAAAGTTGGGACACTTCCGGACCTGTTATTTTAAGTTAGGTCATGTTGATTTGATTATATGGATGGCATCCGCGCGCGCATGAATTTTCGTCCGATTCCAAAAACATTTCGACCATACTGTAAATCGTACAAAGTAGCTGTAATATGAGTAATATATGCCGAAAGTTAAAAAGAAATATCCGAAAACGACACTCATGTCGCAGAATGCCAAAATCCATTCCAAAGGTCAAGAAGAAAATGTTTAGGAATGAAAATGCAGTCTATTATTCACCATGCTAATAAAATATCACTCTGTGTGTTTAGTCATTCGTTCAACATTCATGACCGCCTAGATTTCATAATGAAGGCAATTTTTTTGCCAAACGTTTTTATTCTCACACTTGCATCAGTTTTGGGGTTCCGAGAGGATGGTATCCATATAATCAAATCAACATGTCCTTAGCATTTACGACCGCCTACTAAATGTGCTAGCGTATATCAACTTGCTGGTGATCTTACCTTGGCATGTTGGAACAGGACTACTCCATGTTCCGTCAGCTCGGCACGTTGGAGTAGCAACGCCGTTCAGTGTGTATCCCGAGTTACAGGTGAAGGTGACGCCGTTCGGGTAGGAGACCGCTCCGGTAGGAGTCACCGCTCCGTTAGCTGGGGCCGTCCGTGCCGGACATTGGACCGCTGCAATGGAAAGACAGAAACAACACTCTCCGTCAAACCTTGATATAAAATCACAATATCTTGTGTATGAGTAGGATATCTACATATAGATGAGAACTATTTCTTTGCAGAAACCCGCACAACCAGGTATATATACTAAAATATATTTATATACTATCTATTGAACGGCGGCCGTTAGTAGACGTCTGTTTGGTAACATTTGAACGTTGCAATTGGCTTACTTTCTCATGTTCTCACCGATATATATAGTGCGGGTGTGCAAAACCTGATTTTGCTAGCTATAATATATAGAAGGTGCTTGTAACTATATGCGTCACATTACCTGTGCATGTGTGGACAGGATTACTCCATGTTCCGCCAGCTTGGCACGTCGAACCAGCAGCACCGTTCAGTGTGTATCCCGAGTTACAAGTGAAGGTAACCGAGTTCGGGTAGGAGACCGCTCCGGTAGGACTCACCGCTCCGTTAGCTGGGGCCGTCAGAGCAGTGCACTGGACCGCTGCAATGGAAAGTACAAAAAGAAAAAGAAATTGGGCAAAGTAGAGAATCGAATCACAATATATTCCTTCTGCAGAGTAGGCCATGTACATCTTAGTTATAAATCGACACTTGTTGACAAAATCTGCAAACCATGCAAACCATATGTCACACAAGTATAGTACATATCAGAACAGTTGAATTCTATATGTAGTTCTGTCAGCCTGGCCATGGAGCAGCAAGCACAGTGTATCACGTTGTCACTACATCTATGGAGGTGTTTGCACCGGACTTACAGAACATACTCTCTAATCACGTGCTAGTGCCATTACAGCAGAACAGTTGGTCACTGAACTGAGGAAGGAAAGGTCTTTCTCTTTGTTCTGCCTATACAATCTGTGGATAGGACCACTTTCAAGCTAGACCACGCAGCCGATACAAAATATGCTGATACCATTGAAAGTTGGGACACTTCCGGACCTGTTATTTAAACTTGCATGTATGACCACCTACTAAATGTGCTAGCATATATAAAATTGCTGGCGATCTTACCTTGGCATGTTGGAACAGGATGACTCCACGTTGTGTCAGCTTGGCACGTCGGAGTAGCTTGGCCGCTCAGTGTGTATCCCGAGTTACAGGTGAAGGTGACCGAGTTCGGGTAGGAGACTGCTCCGGTAGGACTCACCGCTCCGTTAGCTGGGGCCGCCCGAGCCGGACATTGGACCGCTGCAATGGGAAGTAAGGGGAAAAAAGAAGCTTTGCAAAGCTTGAAATAAAACCACAATATCTTGGGTATGACTTCTGCTATGGTATGTACATCTAGGCGATCGAGGAAACGATATTTCTATACAGAAACCTGGACCGGCCCTGTTACCGGTACCAGATACAGGTACACATGTAGGAGGCCGCTCCGGCAGAAGTCATCGCTCCGTTAGCTGGAGCCGTTAGTGCCAGCCATTAGATCGATGCAATGGAAGTACAAACGGATTTTTAAAAGAATTTGTCAAAGCAGGAATTAAGAAGAAAACAAGCTTGGTAAAGCTTCATGTAAAATCACAATGAACTTTGAAAGTGGCCTACCATTTCGATCACGTTTTCACCGATATAGTGCGGGTGTGTAAAACTTGATTTTGCTAGAAGGTGTTTGTAACTATGCGTCACATTACCTGTGCATGTGTGGACAGGACTACTCCACGTTCCGTCAGCTTGGCACGTCGAACCAGTAGCACCGGTCAGTGTGTATCCCGAGTTACAGGTGAAGGTGACCGAGTTCGGGTAGGAGACCGCTCCGGTAGGACTCACCGCTCCGTTAGCTGGGGCCGTCAGAGCCGGACATTGTACCGCTACAATGAAAAGTATAGAAAGAGGCAATTTGGGTAAAGTAGAAAATCAAATCACAATGTATTCCTTCTGCAGAGTAGTGCATGTACATCTTAGTTATAAAGCGACGCTTGTGAACAAAATCTGCATTCCCTTATTAAGTCACACCAGTTGCACTGTACATGTAACGTTAGTCTCTGCCCTGTCATGTAGCAATGGCATTGCCAAACATCTTGTGTCACTTGTCACTACATCTAGGTAGGTGTTTGCATTTACAGAACATACATGACCAGTTAGACCATGCCATGAGCTCGGGCCATTACAGTGCAAAATGTGGTCACATTGAGAAATGAAAGCCCTTCGTCTTTTTTTTGTTGTCTTTTTTCAACCTTCACAGCTCATGAATGTCACATGCATGTGCAATTTTGGGAAAGAACCAAGCAAGATCATGTATCCGATACAAAATATGCTTATACTTCTGAAAGTTGGGACACTTCCGGACCTGTTATTTTAACTTGGCATGTACGATCACCTACTAAATGTAGCATATATCAACTTGCAAGTGGTCTTACCTTGGCATGTTGGAACAGGATGACTCCACGTTGTGTCAGATTGGCACGTCGGAGTAGCTTGGCCGCTCAGTGTGTATCCCGAGTTACAGGTGAAGGTGACCCCGTTCGGGTAGGAGACCGCTCCGGTAGGAGTCACCGCTCCGTTAGCTGGGGCCGCCCGAGCCGCGCATTGTACCGCTAAAAAGTAAGTTAGAAAGCAAAAACACTCTCTGTTAAACCTTGATATACAATCAGCATCGCTGGTCAGTAAGTATCCTTTGCTACAGGTGAAGGGTACCGCGGTCTGATAGGTCATCACTGTGGTACTGAGCACCCCGTTATTTGGAGCAGTCAGAGTCAGGCATTGTCTGGCCAAAATGATTATCATCATGGTGATCTATTTTGTATTGAAGAGGCACAAAAGGACATATTTCTATCCATGCCAGTGTATTATGTTTTGAATACATACATGTTAAGTTCACGCAGTTTTCTTTTAAAACATGTACTATCTGGTGAATGTCTGCATGCTGCAATTAAATAGACATTGCTAGCATATATCAACTTGCACGTCGTCTTACGTGGACATGTTGGAACAGGGTTACTCCATGTTATGTCAGCTTGGCACGTCGCGTTGACAGCGCCGGTCAGTACGTATCCCGGGTTACAGGTGAAGGTGACCACGGTCAGGTAGGAGGTCGCTGTGGTACTGAGCGCTCCGTTAGTTGGGGCCGTAAGAGTTGGACATTGGGTCGCTGCAATGGAAAGGAAGAAAAACAACACTCTCTGTTATATATTGATATAAAATCACAATATGTGTATACACTGACCACTATAGTGTAGGCATGTAAAATTTCATTTTGTTAGAAGTTTCTTCTTGTAATATTATTACGTGGGCATGGGACGACAGGATTGCTCCATGTTCCGTCAGCTCGGCACATCGAAGCAGCATCACCATTTCGTGCGTATCTCTAGTAGTATTAACCAAACGCGTATTTTTTTATAAGAAACAAAGCAAGACAGAAAAAATTACCATAGTCTTTATAAGTGTGCACTGGCCAGTATTGAACGTCCGGTATACTTATGACACATAAAGGAACTGCAGCCATAGACAAATGAATGAATGAATGAATGAATGACTTTATTTCAGGAAAAAACCCATAGTACAGACAGGACCACATAGACACTAAACACACAACAATCTATATATAACAACAAAGTACTCACCGTTACAGATCGCCTCCCTTATAGTTCTGGGGTGCGAGTCGTCCACAAGGAAATCGTGGTCCTCCAATCTGAACACCCTACGAGGATCACCAGCAATAGTCTCTAGTGTTGCTTGATGAATGTCGCTTTCCTCGCCAACGCCCACCACAAACACGGTGATGCCCATGTCGCGTACGAGCTGTGCCGGGCCGCTGATGTCGTCCTCAGATTCATCGTCCGTCAGTACGATCAAAAAGTCAAGAGTGTTACTCCGCCGGCCGTTTACTGTGAGGAAGGAATTGTTGCGTACGTGGTCGAGACCAAGTCCAGTGAAGGTATGGCCTCTGTCGTAGGGAATGTCGCGGATCTCAGTTAAGAGCTCAACTCTGGTGTAATTTTCGTTGAGCCTGATGCGAGTGATCTGAGCGTCGATGTTGCTGTACGTCACAACACCAACCCTTGTGTCGTTTTCTCCGAGAGTAAAATAGTTGACTACATTCTGGACAAACGTCTTTGCTTCCTCGAAACCGCTTGTCCTGAAACTCTCCGAGCTGTCTACAAGGAAGACTAAGTCTACTGGATAAGGGCATGTGGTGGCTGAAAAGAAAGATATTCGGATATTTAACATAAACGTTAACAGCTAGCATGCATGCTTGCAACAAAAAACCCAGATACTATCAATTCCTTTTTTATCTTCACAAGATCAAGATGATTGCGCTTACTATTAATGATTGCTATCAACTTCAGCTGTAGATCACATTTGGAAAAGATCTAAAGTGAATAGGTGGAGTTATATATATACACTTGTATCAACGTAACCGTTTTAAAGTGACGTGATCTATTCCATCTTTAATTTTAGACCTACAGCATGTGATGAACGGTGCACAAATGACACAGACAGGTAAAATCATACGGACGCTACTTTTTAAAGTAGTCTAATAGTGATGATGATAATGATGATGATGATGGATGTTGGTTAATTTTTGGATGATTTTTAATCGGCCCTATCTGCCACATAGTGAGACTACATATGAAGCATTGAGACACTCACCTAGGGGAGGTGGGATCTGAGAGGCAGCTGTAAAAAAAAATACAGTTTTCTGATTAATTTTCAACAAAAGCAGACTTAACCGATATCCTTAATTATACCGATATCCTTAATTATGCCGATATTCTTAATTATAGCCTTTATCGTTTACTACTATATTGGCATGAATTAAAGGTCGTCATTCATTCATTCGTTTTGACAATTTAAAAAATGTTAGGCAATTTTTTTCAGAAGTCACCTATCGCTGCAACATGTGGTTCGTGATTCACATGTATGATAATGAGGTTAAATCTTAATCTGAGATGACTATGGTCTCCTTGGACAAAGTTTGTGTACATATTCTACTACTGTTCTTAAATCTTTTCAGCCCCCATCTAAGACCACATGCGCCAAATATCAGTGTTTATTCCAATTTAAAAGTTGTTATCATCATTAAATTACATTTGTGCACTGTGATTTTCCGGCCATCGCCCCTTATCTAGCTTTATCTTAAATGGGCCCCGCCTAAGCAATTAGAATACCTCTGTCATAAAGTTTATTCTGTATTTTGAACAACCCATTTTGTGCTATTCACCAAGCAGGCAGGTGAGAGTTCAACCCATTGTTGTACCAAAAAACACTCGCGCCGCTACACCTCCAGGCTATGGCTAACCCCGGAGTTCGCAAGACTGACTGATTGGCAGGGGTTTATACGTCATTTGAGGCACGCCCAACCAAAATAAGGCTTCTTTGTGTTGTGAAGTTGCCCCAGCAATGGGAGAAAACTCCCGTTTAGGCTGGACAAAAAACTGTTACACAAGATAGCAACAATTTCTGGATATCTGAAAGTTGGGGGACTTTAAAAGTATTCAACACTTTTCTCTTTCTTGATACCCGGTATCTTGAAGGCCATGCAAGGAGCTTTCTCCTGGTTGCATGTATCTCTAGATGAAGAAATGTTCTTTATAAACCATTACAGTAAATATCAAGCGAAGAAAACAGTAGCTTCAGCTATAAATTCAAAAGATGCAAGGATTCCAGGGGCATCACCTCACGAGGTTACTCACAAAGAGAGGCGGTGATTTTTTCGTTCAATCAGGCATGATGATCAGATTAGTGACCCGTCGAGGTCAGTAGTTGACGTGTTAAACTGGAGACGAGAGAATACGTCAAATGTTGCATACCCCTGCGCTCATGAACTATTGTGGAATATTGGTGGTATTTGTTTAGTCCGTCAAAAGTTCTGACACTATAAAAAAGAAAATATTTTGTGGAAAATTCTCCGTTCATCCAAGGATTGTATGAAATACTTTCTATGAGCTCGCTGTGATGTACTGAACCAAAATAAAGGGTTTGACTTTTTAACGATATCTTGTCAAGAGAGGAAATGACCAACAAGGCCAGCTAATCTGTAGTTTAAGATGCTCTCCGCTACATTTAGTTGTTACACCAATGCCCGCATTGCCAATAGTATACTCCAGACGATCAAGTACATATACTGGGGGGGGGGCAGGCAATTGTATATCATTTATGATGAGTTTTTTCTTAACTTATTCGTTGACCCCCAAACAAAGGATGTAAATATAATCTCACGAAAAGGTACCTAACTTTTAACAAATCCCAAAATGTAAACAAATCCGTCTCAAGGACAAGAATGCACTTTATCTCCACTTAAAGAGTTGTCCAAAATGGCTCCTCTTTAATCAGTCCTGCATAATTAGCCAAATATGCCAGATCTAAATAGGCTGTGTGCTGTCACAATGAATGGCAATGGCGTAGCTTGGCCGCCCTAACGCACCACGTATTAACTCAATACCAGGTCCTAACTTGGCCCCGTTTCCACTAGAAGGCGATCACTGACATGTGTGAACATTGCCAGTTAATTTTACGATTGGAATATGAAGCATAGTCTGTGTTTAAAAGACAACAAAACGCTCAAAACGTGGAATGATTAGTTCTTTATGCATGGAATCTGTTGAACGATCTGTCAAATTGTCCATTCAGTAGCTCAGCGGTCGCAGCCTCTAGTGGAAAGGGCTGCATCATATGTATCTTAATGATAGCTTTTTACACAATAGTACGTGGGGTCTGCTAGAAAAAAAGATAACCGAAATGACTACATAAATAAGGGCTAAGCACAAAAGTGAGAGGAGTAATCTGGGATAATAGACGGCCGCACCCTATATATCAATTATCGCTCCCATGTCGTCCACACCTTAAAACATTCTTTACACACATATGTATATTTTTCTTACAGACAAAAGTCCACCTAAGCGTGGTCACAATCGTCGTAGGTCGTCGCACGATTTTGATATCCATAGAATTTTCTAGTAGCCTTTGACATGGCTCTAAGACAGACGTTGCCGTAACAAAAGAGTTGAGTTTTGCACGACACCTGCACAACTATTCTAGGAATGTCCACAGTTTGCGATCGCACGACGATCGTACGACGTATGTGACTTGGTTCTCATCAGCATTTGATGACCGTCTAAATTGGTGCTGCTCTGCACAACGGACGACAAGTAAGGATAAGGTAAAATGAACAAAGAAAGATTGAGGATTTACTCACCTAAGTACAAATTAGCCGCAAGAATGGCGCTGACGAGCCCTAGGGCGACCTTCATGTTGCACGTCGAACTCTAGGGCCTGTTCGTCGGAAAAGTGGCCGACTTGCGTCGCACAACTTGAAGCTGGGATATCCCTGGCTGGCCAGAGAAGGACTGTGTGCCGAGGCGAACTGTCGAAATATCGTCTGATACTCAGATGGTCGGTTTGAACACGCTCTGTCTTTTGCACACGTTTTAACTACCTAACAGTGCTCTCGGCCTTTTTTCAAGAGTGGCCGAAATCGGTCTCACAACTTCGAAACTCTGATATCTGACCAGAGAGACACGGTGTGCCGAGCTGAGGCGTCCTCTCTCAGCGGCCGACTGACGCTCAGGGAAGGAGCGCGCAGAAAACCGTTCTGGACGCGCGCCGTCTCGTGTGCACGTCCGAACTGCCTGACGAGACAAGAGAACGACCCCGCAAACGTTGGACGTGAGGCGACACACCTTGATGTGACGTCGTTCAAGAATGTACAGGCGTGTTCAGGGTCATCTGCACATACATTTAGGGGGTAAAACTTTTATGGACCAATTTCCCAAGTCTCCATGCAATTATTGACTAGCCCATAGATGGCATTGCGTACAAAAGTCCACTCTCTAATTGATGGAGAATAAAAGTTATGATAAACATGAGAAACAGTTTAACACATGCAATACGTTCTGTTTGTATCAATACACGAGATGATGAACCCAGATAACATGGACTGAGACATACTCTCTACATTCAACATCTTTTACTATCAACATGTTTTGCCGAATGAATTTATAACTGTCCGTCGACCCTTGATTATATATCGTTAACATGGTATGTTCCCCTTAAATTAAGTAACATCAGTGGTTAGACAGGGTAATTTTGCAGTACGAGGGTGCAAAAGGGGGCAACGTCAGTGTTCTAACCACGAATATTCATTCTACAAACATACCCAAATGCGTTGAAGGCCTACCTATTAATAAATCCCTATGTTTTGCGGCTAGATCGTAAACGCACACTACATCATCTGGATTAGGGCCAATGTCTAAACACGCGTAGTTGAAGCCCCTTTTGCAGCCCATAATCGGAGCCAGGTCAGCTTCAGGGCCATTGCTTTAACACAAGGAGACAAACGTGACAAGGCGGTCATCATCAATCATAGTGGATGTTTCACATCACACTATCTATCTATGTACTGAACCAAACTTTCAAGTTGCCTACAGGCTGATTGCTAGGGAACACACAAGTACGATACGTATAAAGGTACAAAATGACTAGTCCGTACATCTATCTGGTTCCTACATGTAGATATCCATTAAAATAGTCGCTCATTGAACGCAGAAGATAATTATCGTTTCATCAGTAAGGACCCGGTCACGCAAATCCGTGAGGGCATTTTGTGGATAGTCGTACACGTGTCGTACAGAAGTCGGCTGTCTTGTTACAGAAACATTCTACGCCATCAAAATCGTAGGACGGCCTATGACGAATGTGACCTCGCCTTGACAATGCACGAAAATGTATACACTGTAGTCTAACTTATTACGCAACACATGAAAGACCAATCAATGTGATCATTGTCTTACTTGTACGTACATGTCCTAAATGAATTTACCTGAACGTTTGAAAGCTCTGAAGAAGCTGTCGACTTTCATACTTGTATCGTACTTGTATATGTCCATGGACATAAACTAATCCATGTATACCATGGGGATACATGTATATCTTTATCACGTCTGACAGTAGATTAACTACTCCCCTCCAATTAAAGGGGCCTCGACATACTTTCTGTCTCATTATCTGCGAACATATGTCATCGACTTTGAATGTACACCAAGTGGTTATAAATAGCATGCGCTAGCGATCACACCGGGTCTACGTACTGTAAATTTTGAAATGATCGCGGTATTTTTATCTTCACGGTTTTCGTGGACACCTATCCGGAAAAAAACTACTTGTCCATTGGTTTGCTACGTGAAATTAAGAAATTAACCCTCCGTGGAAAGAAATGAATTTACAGTGACCTCAGTTTATAGGGACCGACCAGAACGAGTGTGGAGTGAGGGGTAGACTCATTTTGTTGGGAAGATAAATACAAATTATGTTGCAAGTTGGCAACAAAAAACAAGCAACAACAGAGCAACAGGAGGAAACAGTACGAGAACATTTCACCAGAAAAGAAGATGGTCGGATACATATTTCCCTCATATCCCCCCGTTTGTCCTAGGTCAGTCCCCAAAAACCAAGGTTTTTCATTCCACCATACAGTGTAATTTACGAGGCAACAATCTCAGCAACAAATAATTGAAAAGCAACGTGTTTTTAGACCTAAGCTGTCCTATCATTGGCTTATCTGAATATCTTTTGTCAAGGAATGCACTTTATCGAATGTTGAACAGACAGAAGGTAACTACTAAGGAGATCAAACTTGTTGAGTCATGTTCATTGTAGTGTGGATAATTGTGAGCGCTCAATACCGCCAAGCGCCAGGTACGATAATTGAGGACGATCTTTTGCCCTTCTGTACGGTTACACCCAAGTCTGCCAAATATGGACACGAACGTTGATGTGACGTAACTAGTGACAAGGTGCAGCCATGACATAGCAAAAATAAGGGTTGCGTTGCAACGCCGAGTTTTAAAGATTTTCTCCTTGGCTAGACATACATATAGAACGTATATACCGACCAAGACAACGCAGTCACATAGAGCGTCGTTCTGTGTACTGCTTACAAGGTTACAGCCGGCAGGCAATCAAGGCTTTACTAGGCTGCTCAATAATTCTGTACGTGTTAATTTGTTACAGTTCGTAGGGGGAGGGGGGGAGGCCCCTATTCAACGTAAATCGAACTATCTTATCTTTTTATTTATACACTATATATATTTACACTGAAACAGCTGTACAAGGGTAGCCCTTCTGTACGGTTACACCCTCTGCCCAAAAATGGGCATATGTTTTGGCGCGAATCCCAGGATGACGTGGTGCAGGGTGCAGTCATGGGAAAGGTCAAACAGTTCAGGTATAACTAAGAGTTTTTCTGATTTTCTTACGAATAAAGAATGTATTTACGAACATCCGAAAGTATGTGGATGTAAATGATAACTTCGTTTTGTTTGTTTGTTTGCTTTCACAGTGACCTCTCCTAAAACATGTTTGCTTGTTTTGGTGTTCAGAAAATGCGTATTTTTTATCTCAGATATTTCATCTTGTTCATCTCAGATACTCGAAAATGACTGTGGGAAAACGTGAGCCCGCACAGTTTACTGCCCTTCAGCCCTGTGGCTTTACATGCCTTCCTAACTACACCTATTACGGTGGGATTCTAACTATTGTCCGACGGCTTCAGAGATGATTTCAGAAGCCGGACAGGCATACAGAGCCTCCTGTGTGGGCTACGTGTGTTTTACAGCATGTATGTATTAACAATCATGATGAAAAGTAACGAATGTAATGTATGAATATATATGATATCATAACGTGACTAGCATGGCAAGGGATAGAGCTAATATCAAGGATTTTCGGGCAGTATATTAATTTGAACGACAAAGAAATTATTACATCTTCTTACATATTAAAGTAAAAATGTGAAAATTATTTTATTCTGATTAACAATAGGCATGGCAGTTTAAACATTATGGCGCGATAACAAATCAGGGGATAGCCTGCTGTAATAATCTCAGTTTCTTTTATCTCGCCTATAAAGTCTTCCAATAATAGCTCAAAATTAAAATCTATGTTTTAGACGGATCTCCGATACTCGATAATGGTTGTAAAGTGGAAGGGGGGGGGTGACGACAATCAACTTTGATCTAATTTTGTAATCTGGTGACACCACTATACATGGTCCTCTACCATAACGATCCATTTAACTGATCGTTTGGCTGAAGATACAGCCAAGGCTGCCCAACTAGCACGGGGTTATGATTAAGGGAGAACCTTGCATTAACTTGAGTATACCATCAGGGCGTTTTCGTTCACATTATATTCAAGGACAAAAGCCGGTTAAAGCCCCATTCATACAACCGGTCGTTCTACTGGTCGCCATGGGCGGGAGAAAATCTTCTAAATATATCTATATATAATTATCTCTGCAAGGCAACCTTTGACGCACGTAGAACACGTATGTATGCTTCTGAGTAGCTGTGTCTAACTATAATTTCTCATACAGACAAATTTAGCAGCAACGTACGCTTGTTGCATCGATTGAATCATTGATTAAAAATAACAGAATATCCTACACTACTAGTACTGCCCTAAATAGACTTTAACCACCATTACTACCTTACCGTAAGTAGAATGTCAAAGAATTAAAATATGGGGAATCGTTTCGATCGTCGACCACTAATAATGTATTAAAATAGTCTGTTATTCTCGATGACTAACTGGTATTCTACTATTGCAAAGCTTTGCCCGATGGCTAGTTGCAAGTAACATAAGAAGACAAACAAACAACGTGTTAATTGCAAGTAATATCAAATGACGAACAATTGGTTAATTACAAGTAACTTTAAAAGACGAACAAACAATTAAGAACAATGATTAGTCTAGATGCTAACTCTAAATTTTAACTATTTAGGGTTGACTACTAGTATCAGCTGTGTTTCATCGCTGGTTTTCCGATGGAGTCCATCATGGGTACGTGGGCCCGCTGATGTTGTTCGGATGGACAGGAAGCAGGTAGATCATCGCAAGGTGGATACGTAGGGAGAGGAAACAGAAAATATTTTCAGTCATATTTACGACTGAATTGGAATTGACAGATCACGTATCACACGCAAAGGAAGTTGATCTGATTAAGGGCCAATTTCCACTACTCTTTCCAGCCGACTCTGAAGCCTGGTAGAGGCTAACTCTGATCATCAACTTTCTGAACATTGCCAATAGAAACATAGAAGATTTGTTGACTAGATATGAAAAATGGTGAAGTACGAGTATACGTCCGTTTTGTTAGGAAAGCAAAATCAAACTAATTCAAATCAATTGAATGCCTTTCGTCGATCGGCTTTCCTTACCTTGGGGAGCGTGCGGGCTTCTTTTCACCGGCTAGGGACGAACAGAACAGAGTTTATAAATATGCTAATCCATCCATCTATCCATCTATCTATCTATCTATCTATCCATCTATCCATCTATCCATCCATCTACCTATCTATCTACCTATCTATCTATCTATCTATCTATCTATCTATCTATCTATCTATCTATCTATCTATCGTTCTATCTATCTATCGTTCTATCTATCGTTCTATCTATCTATCGTTCTATCTATCGTTCTATCTATCGTTCTATCTATCGTTCTATCTATCGTTCTATCTATCGTTCTATCGTTTTATCGTTCTATCTATCTGTCGTTCTATCTATCTATCGTTCTATCGTTTTATCGTTCTATCTATCTATATCGCATACACACACACACACACACACACACACACACACAGAGAGAGAGAGAGAGAGAGAGAGAGAGAGAGATTATATAGCATATATACACACATGTACACAGAGAGAGAGAGAGACAGATTATATAGTATATATACACACATGTACACACGCACACACACACACACACAGAGAGAGGGGAGGGGGTCATTACGCTATACATTGACTTTGTATCACCTTTTCTTGAGGCACCAGCCACACAGGCTAACAAGGCCAGGAGTAGCACCAAAGCCAGCGCGCTCCCCCCGGCTATGGCGGCAATTTCATTGGAGGTGAGTCCGCCAGCTGAAATACAATACATGATCTCTCAATACTGCATATTCATGTTCCGAAGGGCTACATGTAAATGCAAAGACGACCACAAGTGCTGTACAAAATGTAACACACTAAAATCTAAAACATAAACGCTATATAATGTCTACTGTAAATCATATTTCTAAAGCTTCTTCTTTCTTTTATAAACACATGTGGACAAAACAGCCAAGAACGCAATTCAGCCCATAGCTGCTATTTGTTTTCTTGGCCAATAAAGCTTTAATTCATTCCTTCAATTCATTCATTCATTCACTTACATAAACTACGTTCGCAGATGAATACTGCGTTCTGCGTTTGAGTCTTGTTGGAATAAATGCTTAATCTAAATCTATCTTACTTGTGCCTGTGGTTGGCGTGCACGTTGGTACAGCATTGCTCCATGTTCCGTCCATTTGGCACCTGGTAATAGAATTGCCATTCAGGCTGTATCCCGAGTTACAGGTAAACATAACCAATTGTTCGTGGTTATATGGTCCTGAGGGAGGAGTTTGCACTCCGTTAGTTGGGGCCGTCAACGTTGGGCATTGTATGATACCTGTACCTGAAATGGTAATTAAAAATAGACTTCATCAAGATACATTGTACTTATGATTGCACCTCATTCCTCTAGTGGCTGCGACTATATAGCGACCAACGGTTTGACAGATCACTCAAGAATTTCATAGATGAAGAACGTTCGTTGTGTGCGTTTTGTTGCCTTACAAATCCTACATCATGCTGACATTATATTGCATAGGATTATAAGAAAGGCTTTCATGATTAAACGCAATTGATAAAGTAAGGGCGGAGATATGAATTTCTTTACAATCTAATGCACTACTATCTGATGTTATAAATTACAGTTAGAAATATCTATATAGACTTATTCTGTTATCTTACGTGTGCATGTTGGATCAGAGTTTTTATCCCATGTCCCGTCAGCCTGGCACGTCGCAGTATCATCGCCGTTCAGTGTGTATCCCGAGCTACAGGTGAAGGTGATTGAGTTCGTGGGGGACACCGCTCCGGTATGACTCACCGCCCCGTTAGTTGGGGCCGCCCGAGCCGGACATTGTGTGCCACCTGAAATGGTTAAATAGTCTTGATCAATAATCCAATACTAATAGTATGGGATTTGACAGATCAAAGTCAAAAATCTCTCAATGATTTTTCAGAGATAAAATAACGTTTTGTGTTTGTACGTTTCGCTGTTTTTTTTAAATCATACTTTCACATCTTTCATCAAATTTCAATTATGAAATCGATGGTGACAGAAGTCTATAATTTTGGCGATCGCCGACCAGTGGAAAGGGGGTTTTACTGGAGACTACCTGTACCTAACGTTGATAAAGAATGCATTTGTTCTTCTGACAACCTCAGTTCATGTTTTAAACACTAAGAGCAATATACTACATGTGTAACAGTCAATGGGACAAAACGAGAAGAAATTAGTATTCACTTGCCCCAAAAGGAAATATTTACTTAGAAAATGAAAATGATAACTCAAAAGCTATGATTTAACCTGTGCTTGATGACGAGCACGTTGGTACAGCATTACTCCATGTCCCGTCAGCTCGGCAGGTCTGAGCAGCAGCACCGCTCAGTGTGTATCCCGTGTTACAGGTGAAGGTGGCCCCGTTCGGGTAGGAGACTGCTCCGATAGGACTCACCGCTCCGTTAGCTGGGGCCGCCCGAGCCGAACATTGGACCGCTGCAAGGGAAGTAAGGAAAACAAAGCTTAGCAAAGCTTGAAATAAAACCACAATATCTTGAGTATGACTTCTGTCAACTCGAATATGTACATATGTACAACCTGACTACGGTCTGGTAGGTCCTCAATGTGGTACTGAGCGCTCCGTAAGCTGGGGTCGTCAAGACTGGACATTGTCTGGCTGAAATGGCGTGATAGACTTGATCATAAAACTTACAGGAATCACATACCAATGATTGTTGGAGCAGCATTCCTCTGCAAGTGCTTTGAAGAAACGTTTCGTGTATTGAGACAGGACGCACTTCTCTTTTAAGAAACTTATCAATTGACCTTTTAAATTAAACACTAAAAATAGTCAAAGGAAAAATAGCAGCGAGGAATTAATTACAAATGTACGTCATTGCTCCCAAATCGGGCATATTCTAATGAGGTAGGTCGAGAGTTGTCCGCTGCTGTGAAATGTCATGGCGAGCGTTCTCTTATGTGAGATCATGATAATCAAATTAAATGGAATACTGTTGTAAAGGATCATAAGCACACATTCCAATTTTATAAATGATGAAATAAAATGCAATCGATAAAGAAACGAAGGAGTTACGTGTGCATGTTGGAACAGGGTTACTCCATCTTTCGTCAGCCTGGCACGTTGTAGTAGCATCGCCGGTCAGTGTGTATCCCGAGTTACAGGTGAAGGTGACCACCGTCTGGTTGGAGGCTACTCCGATTGGGCTCAGGTTTCCGTTAGTCGGAGCCTGCAACGTCGGGCATTGCAACTGCCTGTCTGAAATGGCGATAATAGTCTTGGTCAAGAACCTTCTTCGGATTAATTTGCAAACCATGCCTAAGGAGCGATCGTCGTACGATCGCAAACTGGGGGCATTCCCAAGAGAGCCAGCATGTGTTCTACAATATTTGACTGTCTTTTTGCGGAAGATGTTGTCTTAGGTCCTTGTCGGTGGTCGGTTTTGCCACAGCCTGCTTAAACATTTTACAGCATCAAAAGTACCCAAGTAGTATACTTACTACATGTTTGACCAAGGTATCCACTGGCACATCGACAGCGGAAGGAAGTAATCGTTGGGAAACACTGCCCTCCGTTTATGCATGGATTAGGGGCACATGGATCGCCAACTGTAAAAATATTGCACGTTTATGCTCTTACAAGCTAGGTATAAGTCGTGAATAAAAACACAGGAAAAAGTACAGCATCTTACTTAAGCTAAACATACTGATGTGAACTGCCATTTACAGATTCAACTTCTTCTCGCTTTTTGAGGCAGTTGTCAATGTTAGGGAGCCAATTAACTTTGAGTGTATCTGATGATCATCGGGACTAGAAATTGAACACAGCATGTTGTAATTGCGGTATACTTCGACGCAATTACGCTATAAGTCTCTCAAACGTCAATAGAAATGTGTATAATGTATAACATGGAAACTTAACTGAACAACGAGGCTAAAAGATTGATATAGAAAAAAAAGGACGTCGTGACACTCTTCTATAGGTAAATACTTATGTCGCATCAACGTTGTAGAACAGTATCTTACGTCTGCACGTGGGGAGAGTACCGCTCCACGTGGCGGTGACCTGACACCTGATAGCGCTGTTCCCGACCAGAGTGTAACCGTCATCACAGCTGAAGTCCACCTGTCCACCCTGGTAGTATGTTCCTTGTTGGGCACCAGATGCAGGTGCACCAGGATCTCCACAGAAAACCCCTGGCATGATATATTGTACCAAATTATCAAACTGAAAATGTTTATAGACCGATAATCATGATCGGCTGCGGCTTAAACCATTACAAGCTTCATGAAAAAACGTACGAAGTGTACAACTGAAAAAAAACAAACATGTAACCTGACTATATCATGCTACTAGCGGCTAACTTACTGGTTAGACCATTAGATGCTTGATGGCCAACACCCCAAATTCAGAAGAAGTGGCATGGGAACATCTT